GTATTACACTTTATCTATCTGAAAATGAATTGCGTGGTGAAATTCCTTCCAATCTATCAGGATGTTTACAACTTCAGTTCCTTTCTTTGTCATACAACAAATTTAGTGGATCCATTCCAGGAGAAATTGGGAGAATAAGGACGCTTCAGATTTTATATCTTTATTCAAATGATTTGTCCGGTAAATGAATCATGATTGATGTTGCATTAGTACTATAGTTTTTTGTTTGAATAGATCAACATTTTAGTAATTGCAGTCTCTCATTCTGATTTAGCAATTTGACAGGTGAAATTCCACATGAGTTGGGTAACCTGGATAACCTCAAGGAGTTGAGCATGGGACTTAATTTTCTTAATGGCTCTATACCAGCCAGTATCTTTAACATTTCATCATTGCAATTTATTGAGATTGCTGAATGCAACCTATCTGGTAACGTTTAATTAGATTCAAAACAACTTTTGCGTTTGTCCTTTGTATGTTTATGCAGAAATTTAAAGAATGTTGTTTCTTTTAAAGTTCGAGAACTTTATAATTTTGTAGGTGTAATCCCCCAAGAGAATGGCACTCTTTACAACTTGGAGCGTCTTTATTTGGACAGGAATAACTTAAATGGACCGATTCCAAACTTCCTTGGGAATTTGAGATTCATAGAAAAAATATACTTGTCTAGGAACAACTTCATCAGTAAATCACCAGTTTGATAACGTTCAGTCTGTTTGGCAATGAGTTGACAGGATCAATTCCAGTAAGCTTGGTGAATTTGCAAAAGCTTCAAGCATTAGCTCTTCATCTCAATAAAATAAATGGATCTATCCCGGACTCTCTCTGTGAACTTCACAATTTATATCTGTTGTCATTGGCACAAAATCAAATAACAGGTGCTATTCCAAGGTGCATAGGGAATATTATTACACTAAGGCGTCTATATATCGATGCCAACAGATTGACTTCCACCATACCTGCAAGCCTGTGGCTCCAGAAAAATCTTCTGGAATTGAATCTATGTACAAATACTTTGAGTGGCTCTCTACCTCAAGAAATTGGGAACCTCAAGGTTGCATTTCTTATTGATCTATCAGTCAATCAATTCTCAGGTAGTATCCCAAGCACAATTGGAGATTTACAGACCTTGAGTAATCTTTCCTTAGCACATAATGCATTGCAGGGATCTATTCCAGAGTCGGTGGGAAAGATGCTGAACTTGGAGCAACTCGATCTATCTCACAACAATCTTTCTGGTACTATCCCCAAGTCCTTGGAGGCACTTAAATATCTCACTTACTTGGACGTTTCTTTCAATGATTTAAGTGGTGACGTTCCTTCTGGTGGTCCTTTCAAAAACTTTTCAAGTAAATCCTTCATGTCTAATGAGGGATTATGTGGTGATCCTATATATGGTCTTCCATCATGTCCTACTGGTAGACAAGAAAACCGATGCTTGCAGTTGTATTTTCTTTGTTGGGGATTACAGTACTAATTTTGACAGGCACGGCCTTGGCATATGCAATTGGAAGATACCGAAGGAAAAAATTGGTGGAAAATAGAGTAGACTTTGCACCTGGCACAACTCTAAGGGTCTCGTATCATGAACTTTTGCAAGCAACTGAAGGGTATAGTGAGAGCCATTTGCTTGGTACTGGGAGTTTAGGCTCTGTCTATAGAGGGACTCTCAATAATGGAAGGGATGTCGCAGTGAAGGTTTTCAATTTGCAACAACAAAATGCATTCAAGAGTTTTGATGTAGAATGTGAAGTATTACGAAACGTTCACCATAGAAATTTGTGCAAAGTCATTAGTACGTGCTCCAATCCAGATTTCAAGGCCTTGGTGCTTGAGTACATGTCCAAT